TACTCTCTCTCTCTCTCTCTCTCTCTCTCTCTCTCTCTCTCTCTCTCTACTTTTCTTGAGCACCTGGACGTATTAGTACATTCAAGAGTTCATCTATCATAATTCAATCCACGTTAGATGGCATAGTGAAGATTTAACCCAGCATGACGCGGTATGATGACGAAGTATACCGTGGAACTCATGGAACAAATGCACTACTAATCGCTTCCATGGGGTCGTTTTCAATGTAGAATCCCATGCACCGACACCCACCCCTGCATGGCATTGATTCCCTGCTTCGAGGCAATAATAATGCATGGGTCCCACACCACTTGCCTGATTTACTCAGCTCCAGAATAGATTCCCAAGCCAATGACAAGGCCAACTGGATCTACTGCGAGTTCCGAGACGTGTTTTTCTCCTCCTCGATATGCTGATGCTACCAGGCGTACACAGTTCACCATGAAGACAACGGTGCATGATGCTGCAAACGAGTACGTACTTCGGATAGGGTGGCATATGCTTGGTTTGTCCGTGACGCAGAACTTAAACGTGCTTGATACAGACCAGGCTTCTTCTGCATTAAAGTAGCAGAGCCTTGGATCCATCATGGGGTGCTTCAGACTCTCTCTCTCTCTTTGAGTTCGGTTCCAATAGCTTCTGAAGATTGCTGCGTCTGCCATTGCTATCGATTAGATTTATGGTGTTTAGTTAATTGGGTGGTGATGTTATTAACGTAACGCATCGATTGCCGTCAGAAATTAATTAAGTACCGAAGATGAGATACAGCAGTGACTGCCGCTTTGCGTGTAGAGGTGTCATTGGCCACATTGCTTCCTGCCCAATTCGTTTCATTCGCAAGTGGGTCCGCCCGGCGATTCAGGTCACGATTGGCCGACGTTTAAGGGCGTCGAATACGCCATTCGTTTCTCGCTTCGCCCACCGACTCGTCCATATTTTCTTCATCTTTTTCGTGAAATTTCAGAGATCTAAATGGAACTTTGGGAACCCACAAGCTTCCAAGTAATTCTTCTTTTGTGCACGACTATGCCATGCTTTGCCCACGGAATCCTACAAAGATGAGGCAAAACGCAATGCTCTCTCTATCAAACAAATCAAAAGAACCGCTCCACAATCAATCCTTCTATTCTACGTCGATTTCCTCGTGCGAGGAGCAGATGCTCACACACACGCATCTCGGTGTGCTTTAGTTGTAGTGTTTGACAGATCAAAAGAAAGGATTTGTTCTTTGGATCATTCGACATGATTCAACGGGTTTAACGTGGGAGAAGCCGAGTAGTTCCACAATGGAACGCCAACTCGCTCTCTACACCAATCCGAGTCTCTGCAAGTTGTTCCTTTGGAATTGCAAATATCTAATCAATGTTTTTCTGTGAAATAACACTAATAAGTTTGTCTGATTTATGAAAAGAAAATAAATTCCTGTATTTCCCGTGCCGTCTATTTTACGATACGTGCAAGTTAATGCGAGTGGAGGTGGAACGAGATCCAATGTGTATCCACCGTCCAAAGTCCGAACCATCAAACACGGCGTTTGAGGTGACAGCTCATGTTCATCCTTATCATAAATACCGTCTCATCTCGGCCGTCGATCAACGCCACCTTCACCGCGCGCCATAACTACCCGGGCCCCATCACCAACCTCTCCTTTTCGATCCAACGGACAGCATATTAATGGCGAGCGACCGTATCCGGTTATTTCGTGATTTCTTCAAATGTCACGGGTGGACTGCTATTGAGGCGCCCACCCGAAGTCATACGAGTGTCTAAAACGGGTGCCCCATACCGAGTCACCGTCGCACTCGTCCCGTTACGTCGCGTTTGGGGCCGCCGCGGCTTCCGACTCGACACACCGGCTCGGCTCAGCTCGGCTCGGCTCGGGCCCGTTGTTATTATAAAGGGAAAGGATCGACGCGGCTGGCGTCAGGGGAGCGGAGCCGCCTCGCCGCGCCTCGCTTCGCCTCACGGTCCCTGTTGTCCCACCCGGGCCCATCACTGCTCCCGATCCTCCCCGGTTTCCCTCTCGGCTTTAAAATCCTCGAGGCCGGCGCTCGTCAATGGCGGACCGCAACCTTCCTCGCCCTCGCATCGGCCTACGGCTTTGCCTTTGCTTAAGTTTTCGGGCTCCTGATCAGGTAGGGGAGGCCATGGAGGCGCCGCCGAGGCCTCTGCGGTTGCGGTGCTCGGTCCAGAACTACGATTGGGGTAGATTCGGGGAGGAATCGACGGTCGCGCGGCTGTTCGAAGGCAACTCCGGGTCGGAGATTGAGTTGGGCCGGCCCTACGCCGAGTTCTGGATGGGAACGCACGAATCGGGGCCGTCCTTTGTGGTGGCGTCACCAGAGGCGGCGGTGGCGGAGGCAGAGTGTTTGGCGCCCGGGGTGGTCACGCTCAAGAAGTGGATTGGGGAGAACCCTGGCGCGCTGGGTGTGAAGGTCGTGCAGAAGTGGGGGAAAAACCTTCCTTTTTTGTTCAAGGTTGCTTCTTTACTCTATCCGCTCTTTCTTTTTCTCCTCAATACGACTGCGATTCTTTGAGTCGGGTTTGATACTGTTTATTCATTGATCCTGATGTTCTTTCGCAGTTTTCTATTGTTAAGATTCGTGTCTTTTTGTCTTTTGGTGTTGAAATAGGCTGTTTGAAGTTCTTCGCCATTAAATTACTATTTCTTTTTGTTCTCATTCGATCGGTAATAGGTCTTGTCGGTAGCCAAAGCGTTGTCGATACAGGCGCACCCCGATAAGGAGTTGGCAAGGATGCTTCATAAGATGCGGCCGAGTGTTTATAAGGATCCTAACCATAAACCAGAGATGGCGATTGCTTTAACCGAGTTCAGGGCGCTGTGTGGTTTTGTCAACATTGAGGTACATAATGAAGTTTTCTTGTCTTACTTCAGGATTTATTGGTTGTTTTCTGATCAATTCGTCTTAACCTGTCATAATCGCCTTTTTGAAAAATCTTGTTGTAGTGTGATGATTACTTTCCTCCAGAGTCACCTTTTTTTTGGGGGGGGGGCGGGGGGAATATCTCATTGTTAATGATTAAACACATGAAAAAAATTAATATGAAATGTGTCATCTATACTGACAGCTTATATTTAGTCTACCATGGTACTTCACATGTTAGGCTGTTTTTTGTGTGCCTTTTTTCTTATTTGATTTGAACAGAAAAGGGATAGAAAGTTATAACATTGGCTTCCTCAAGATCCCAAATTTGATGGTTTCTAATTACCTTCATGATCCACACTGAATTTGTTTTATGATTAGTGTTATAAAACTTACTGGTTTAACAAGACATCTTGGATTCAGAATGTAAGAAGGACTGTCTTTCCAGATTCATAACTTTATGCTACCTTATGGCTTATTGGGCTGAACAACTAGATGGACATGTGAACTTTACTTCCTTCTCATTGCTTTAGTGCAGCCATTTGTACTCCTGATGCCACTGTTGGAATCAACAGAGTTTCAGACTCTTGCCTGATGCTATTTAAATTGTTCATACAGCATTCTGTTTTATGTGTTCTTAGCTTATCTTACCTAGGCATGCTTAAAAAAGTTCATCCAGGATATCTTTGCCACTTTGCTCTTAGACGTTATCTTATTAGGACATACTTTTGCATATGTTGATTCTTATTACAAAATCAATTCTGAGTACTTTATTGACCTTCGTTACTGCTTTTTTTACTCAAGTTTCAAGCATCTCATGCTTTTTTCTGGTAGCTAGATATTATTCATGGCATATGAGCTTCCTTGTTTCCCAGATTTTAATCACAAAGACCTTCCTAGACTTCACATTTGCTACCCCTCTAATCTTTGATGACTTTTTGTTTATGCCTTTCCTTAATCAACATTTCATGCTTTTAATGCCACTCTTGTCTGAGTACCCTGTTTAAATACACGTGAAACATGTTAACCCATGTAGTCTTTTCAAATGATGTATTATGATATTCTTTTTATCCATGTCCTATCATCAATCTTGCTATATGCTGACCTGCCCATATTTCATGGTTGCAAATCTTCACATGTTTTCCTCCTCTTCTGGAAGAAGTATCTGATGTGTATTTTATTGAAGAAGTTTGTGAAGGCTTTTTTTCTCTCCCATCTTCTAAATAGTAACTTTCATCTATGATATATCAGTTTCCAATCGTTAATACAGATATCATAAGAAACATTGGGCAGACAGTTATGTCCATGGTATCTTGTAAACCTGCAGGAGCTCAAGGATGTCCTTGTTGGTGTACCAGAAATTACAGAGCTGATTGGTAATGAGGAGGCAAGCAAAATTATTGGCAGCAAAGATCTAGATGGATATTTGGATGCAAAAGCTCTTCTGCGATCAATCTTCACTAAGCTTATGTCAGCAAGTAAAGAGGCTGTTTTGGAACTGGTTCCTAAACTAAAAGATCGTTTAGATGTTGAAAGTAAGGTAAACAGAATTATCTGTTATTAAGCAAACTTTATGTTTGCCTTCATAATTCTGTACTTATAGCATGATTCACTCTGGTTATTGCTGATTGCAAGCTAATCTGATAATTCTAGATGGAAACAAGAACACTTTTCAATTTCTGTTATTATAAAAGGCTCGACTTGGTGTACCTGCCAATCTTGTTTTTTCTCTTTTTGATGGCGATCTTTTTGTTGATGCTATGGAACTTATACATCTTGCATAATAATTTCTGGCATTCTCGAGGCATGCCTAACATCCAGTTCTTTATCCATATCCTGGTTATCACCGTGTATTTGAGTTGGCCCGTTATATATTTCTGTGAGGAAAATTCTTGTTTGAAGGTGAAGGAAGCAAGTCTTGGCCTTCTTGTATGGTTATAATGTTTGTAATAAAGTTCATATTTTGACGCTGTTGCTAATCACTAGTTCTTTTTTGTTTAAAGACCAATACATTGAGGCCTTGTATCTTTATGCGACAGAACTGAAAGATTTTGGATTATTGATATTGGATTGGGGAAATGGGATCATGCTATGTGGATTCAGTTGGCATATTGTATCAAATTCTTATGTTTCGTTTGCTGCATTCTTAAGAGTTAATATTTCGACTAGATGTTGTGATTGTCCTGTCAGATTTTGACATTTAGGCCTTTATTACTAATCCTGTTCTAATAATTACAAGTTTCTATGATGTGAACTGTCATAGTGAGTTACGTCAGTTGTTTTCGTCCTTTAAAAATTGATTATATGTTCTGTTCTTTTATGTCTTTTTCTTAAATATAGGACTGTCCAGAAAACATTTTAAGTAGACCTCT